CTGCATTTTAGTTAATGCCACTGGTTTTGACTCAGATACAATTAATTCTCTTCTTAGTAGCTGGTACAGGGTTGTGTTTTGAATTTAGGATGAGAATAATGTTGATAACACAGTAATGTTTTCATTGTTGCTGAGCAGTGCTCACCCTAAGTCAAGGACTTCTCAGCTTCCCGTGCTCTGCCATCAAGCAAGGGCACAAGGAGCTGGGAGGGAGCAYGGCCAGGACAGCTGACCCCAGCTGGCCAGAGGGATGCTCCACACCACAGAACATCGTGCCCAGGATATAAACTGGAGGGAATTGGCTGAGGGCACTGACTGCTGCTCAGGGATGGGCAAGGCATCCACCAGAGCAATTCTGTTGTGCATCTCTTGTGTCTCTTGGATTTCATTGCCCTCTTCCTCTTTTTTTTTTTTTTTATTAGTACGAGCAGTAGTATCATTATTATTATTATTGTTTCAATTTTTTAAAGTGTTCTTATTTCAATCCATGAAGTTCACTTTTTTTTCCCAATTCTCCTCCCCTCTTGGGAGTGGAGCAAGTGGCTGCATGGGATGATAGTCATTCAGTTGGTGGCTTCCTGAAGGAAAGCTTTCATGCCCTAAACTCAATTAGACCTGCCTGAGGAATAGTTTTCCAGTCATAAACAAAAGGCCAACAGGATTTCAACTTATTGTTTCAATTTCTGTTCCAAGACAGAGAGACTTTTCAAAGTCCTTCTTAAGCAGCCAAACCAAGAGAACCCAATTTGGTAAACAGGTCAGTCAATGGGACACTGTGGGGGTGTGGGGCATTCAGGGCCTCCTTGTTCTTGCTCCCACAATGCTACTGAGCCTCCTAATAATACACAAMAGGATTAATCTCAGCCTCTCATGCAATTGCTCCACTTTGAAGTAGTTAACATGTTACTGGAAGAGAAAGGCTGATTCCAACTGTGACCCTTGGCTGGCATGTTAGAAAACCTCAAGTAAGTCCATGCTCCAGTAAAGATGTGATTATTAACTAGCTGCAACACCAGAAGCCTGAGAGAGAGCGACCCAGAGCAGCCAGCTGCTTGCCAGTGGAAATACTTACATGAGCTACAATGCATCATGATCCAAGCTTGTAGCCTGAGCTTTGATGCTTTGAACTTTGGCTGCTTTTGTTGGAACTAGATGATCTTGAAAGTCCCTTCCAACCCAAACCATTCTATGATTCTATGACCTTGGTTTCAGTACACTAGAGTAACATCAGAACTGACGATGGGCTCTGAGGGTATGAGAACAACCTCACTGTCTTGCATTTTTACAATGATCGTGTTCGAACATTTTGCAGCTGGAGAGGAGTGGGTAGTCTGCTGTGTGTCCAAAAAGCATGGCTGGATACGGTGTGAGGCTGGACTGAGGCTGGCTGAAAGTTAAATGAAATTCAAGTGATGAATACCYGAGGTTTAGAAATTGCCGTGCCAGGGTGCACATTTACTGAGCAGCCTGGCTGGCAACTGAGCACAGCTTTCAGTGCTTGTGTATACACACAGTGAGAATATGTGTTCCTTTAATCCTTGTATAACCTAGCAGCTCCACCTACCCTGTACACTGAAATTCTCATTCATCCATTGAGCATGCCCAGCAAAAACTCCCCCTGAGCCTTCTCATCTCCCTTTTTTACCAGTTATAAGGGCAGAGTTCAAAAGATCTGCATAGAGATTACAAATACAAATCCATTCAGCCTTTTCCCAGGAGGAGATAATTCCTGGATGTGCATTTAGGCAGTGGCACCAATTACATTGTGGATTCCCTCCTAACCTCCAGCCATCAGATACATATTTTGAACTGGAAGGTACCTCCARTAAATGGCATTTAGTAGCAAGCAGTATTTGATGTCTTTACTGGAGGGGATGCTGCTAAATCCAGGGAAGTCTTGTCACTTTTCATTCCGCTGGCTCCATCAGTGAGGATGTGAGATAATCCTGACTTTGTAACAGAGATCTTGTTCTCAGAGACTTTCACAGATGTGATCAGCCCACAAGCAGTATCTGCTCGCTACAGATCCCAGCCTTCTCCTTGCTTAATAAATATCAATAGCTCTGAGAAAATGAATGGTCTTACTAATCTGTGCAAACTAAACATCATTTTGTCCTTAAAAATAACAATATTTAGTCACCTCCAGATTATTGTGTGTTCAGCCAACGTGCCTAAAGAATGCAGGATCAAAATTGTGGAATGGTGSAGGTTGGAAGAGACCTCTGGAGATCACCTAATCTAACCCCCATTGAAAAGGGGCAAACTTCAAAGTCAGATCAGGTCACTCATAGGGCTGTGCAGATGAATACTGGACATCACTAAAGGTGGAGATTTCACAGCCTCTTTGAACTGATTTCAGAGTTTGACCACTCTCCMAGTAAATATTCATTTCTTAATTTCAAATTGGAATATAGAATCATAGAATGGTTTAGGCAGAAAGGGACCTGAGGCATCATCTAGTTCCAAACACTCAGCATGGACAGGGACACTTTCCACAGGACCAGAGCCCATCCAACCTGTCCTTGAAAACTTTCTACCCAGTCAGACCCCAACCTATACGCTTGTATAGGACTCCTCCATTCCAGTTGCATTTCCATATACATACACACACACACACATATATATGTCTACATTCTCATATGTATGTATATCTACATACATATGTCACACATATATTTGTCTACATTCTCTATTTCTCTTTACTTCTCAACTAACCCATTCAGCTACAGAATCTGCCAATTTTTTTTAAGCTGAGTAAGTAAGATAATTAAAGTATTAATGATTTTTCTTGAGAACATAATCCAGTTTTACTTCTCTAGATTTAATATATTTTATTTTCATTTCCCTTTAAATGTAATTTTTGTCCATTTGTTCCTTAAATAAAAAACTACTGTCTATTTTCAGGAGCACATATTTCATAATTTGTGGTTGATTCTATTAATTCTGGGTCATAGGTTTTTCTAGGAAGAGCCCACACAACAGAAAGCTCTCAGTCCTGGCAGTTTCTAAGTGTTCTGATCAATATAATGACAAGCAAGGATGTTTTGCACCTTACAAACCAGGAATTTTAAAAGAAGAGGCTTTATGAAAACCTGAAAACCCCGTTTGTCCTTTGAGTTGTAAGTAAAAAACCTCTCATTCCAATATATAGTCAGTATTCTTGTGTATAAAAGATAAAATAATAATTTCTCCCCCCAAAAGATGGCAGTTTATTTCCAAAAGTATGATACAGTCTCTAAGGCTACATCTGTTCCAGTACCACAATAGGTCAGATYCCTTGTTCTGAGAATGAGTAACACAGCACTAAATGAACCCACACTGGGAAGGTCCCACAAAACAACGTCCTGACCTGTTCTGGATATGCTGCTTTGCATTTCCCTTGGTAGCACAGAGAAACAAGTAGCACCATCGAAAAACATCTTGTTCATTACCCCTTGTTATTGCTACTTGCTGTTTCATTAAAAATTCCAGAGAGACTCAGGAGAGGCAGGAGGAAGCATCAGCTTGGTTTTACCCTCCATATAACATGAGCATGGAATGCATTGGGTACTCCCTGAACACAAGAGATGCAAACTGTGAGCCCCACATTAGTGCCTGCCGGCCTCTCACCCCACGTGTCCGACCCAAAAGCTCTKTGGACCTGTTATCCCAGGACTGTCTGGAAAAGCAAAGAGCCAGCACCAGCACAGCCCTGCCTGGATGCTGTCCAAGGCTTGTGGGCTGGAACCAGCTGTCATCCCTGCATGGAGCTGGGGGACAGGGAACCCTGCTCGATGGGGTTAAATTCTRACTTCTGCTACGAGACCCAAAATCYCACYGSTCATCACAATTAGTGTGCTAAAAACCAGGGGAAATGCTCAAGCATTTCATTAATGGCTAATATTATTAAATGAACAATTAATAAGAGCAGTCAAGTGAATGATTATTTCTAATAAAAGGCCCGACAATTGCTAACAAGTTAGGAAATGCCAGCGCAGAAGTTCTCAAAGAAATAATCCCCTGCCACATTGCCCCTACACAGAATAACGGGGGTTACTAACGGGTTTGCTGGGTGCAGACTGTAGCCTATCTGGGAGCAAGGCAATTCCCGTGGCACCTCACTAACACATTTTTAGAGGAGCCCAGGGACAATTTCAGAGGGATGCTAACTTTCTGCGGCTGGTACGGAATACGCCCCGAGGGGATGAAGCCACCCCGAAACAAAGCCGGGGTGATTCCAGCACAATGCGGGCAGCGGCAGCGGGGAGAGCGGGCGGGCAGGGGATGGGCAGCGGGCAGGACAAGGACAGCGGGAAGCGGGCTGGGGCGGACGCAGGGGACGGGCAGGAGCGGCAGGAACCGGGCAGGGACAGCGGGCTGGGGCAGGGGCCGCCGGCTGTGCCCTCCCGCTCGGCCCGGTGCCGGTTCCGACCCGCGCAAGGACATGACTAAGCAGCCCCTATCCCTCCGCG